ATCCCCATCTTTTAAAAACTACAGTTGAGCTTGTAAGAAGGAAAAGAGTGAAAAATAAAGAGGGAGCTGCAAACTAGCATGGTAAGTGACTGATAACCCTGAGCCCAATCACCACTCCCAGGAACCTCAAATCTCAGGTTTTAAAGACCTCATGTTTGTGGGGGACACGATCTTGGGCTCAGGGAAGGTAGAGAATTGGCACGGAGACTTCTGCATACAGCCAGATGCTCCGAGGACACTAAGATGAAACCAAATGGAGATAAACTGTGGGAGAGTCAATCTGCTTCAGTTGTGGCCACAGAGCACAAAATACAAGGAGAAAAATCTTAAAAGTTGACAGAAAGGAAAGAGAGATCAGCTAAAAGGAACGACCGGACTGGCAATCACAGTGGAACAATAATTTAAGATTGCTAAGAGAAAACCACTCTCAATGTAGAATTTGATATCTACTTAAATTATGTACACTGTATTTAAAAGTAAGGGTGAAATGAGGACATTTCAGAAAATCCCAAACTGAACTGAGTTATCACCAAAGGATACTCATTAAAGGAGTTTCTAAGAGTATACGTTAGGATAAAGAAAAAATGACCCCAGAAGAAGTTTGAGATTTATAAAACAACAATAATGTCTAATTTGGAGGTTTAAAACAAGGTGGTGCTAAAATATTGGATAATAATAACTTTTAAGACAAGAAGATGGTGGTGATTAGCATTCTGACACCCTTGGGTGGTGGAGCTATTTTGATGTAGACTTTGAGTACACATGCTAAAATTTAAGAGTCATCACTAAATAAAAATAGAGCATATAACTTCCAAAACAATAGGAAAATGTGGAATCAATCTGAAAGAACACAGGAAAGGGGGGAAAAGACAATGGAAAAAGCAGGAGAGAGCGCATGAAATAAAATGCTAAAGATAATTCCACATATCAACAATTAAAATGAGAATAAAGTATAAAAGGTCTAAACTCACTAGTTACAACAAAGATATCCTCGAACTGACTCAAAACAAAACAATCCAGACATCTGCTGTATCCTAGAGAAAGCCTAAAACACAAAGACGTGGTACATCAGGATAGTTAACATTAGCTACTGTAATGAACCACCTCTAAACTCGCTGGGGCTTTAACACAACAAAGTTTATTTCTTGCTCACATCACAGCCCATCAGGTCCGGTTGCTTCTCTGGGTGTCACCCTTTCAATCAGTGACATAGGAGTCTGGGATCCTTTAATCCTAGTTCTGCCACTTGGGAGTTCTTTGCCTGCAGACATGTGAACAGGGGAGACAGCACACAGAAGATCACACATGACATTTTTGCCAAGTCTAGAAGTGGCATATATCACATCTGCCCATATTCCTCTGGTGGTTCCAACATAATTACAAAAAGAGCTGGAAAACATAGTCCTGTGTTCACAGGAAGAGAAAATGGAATGAGTGAGCACCTAGCCAGTCTCTGACACACAAAAAGGTTGGAAATAAGAACAGACGCAGAAGGATATGGCAGGCAGACGATAAGCAGAGGAAAGCTCGAGTCATTCTGCTCACATTGGACAAAATATTCTTCAAGGCAAAATGCATTAACAGGACTAATGATAATAACTACATAAAGATAACAGGTTCAATTCGCCAGAAAGAGATGTAGCTAATGACATCTTCGAATTACAGCAAAAATTGACAGAATTATTAGGAGACACTGACAAACTCACCACCACAGAATGTAACATATGCCCTGCTTAGTCACTGATGTCACACAGACCAAAAATTAGTAGCATACAGAAAATATAAATAATATATCTAACAAGCTTGATCAAAAGGACACGTATAGGAAGACGTCTTCAATTAGTAATTAATTGCACCTTGGATAAACCTCATTGGGCTGTGATAATGCCACGGCACAATGCTGAAAATAGGACATGTATAGAATCTTGTGTCCAATGACAGAGAATGCACATTTTTCTCTCTCTACACTGGATGCTTCTTTCTCTTCTTCCTTAAGAGTGCAAGAATCACTTATCCAAACTGAACATATACTTGCCTATAAAACCAGCCTCAAAAAATTTCCCAGAATCAGCATCATCCAAACCATGTTCTCTGATTACAGTGGAATTGTTAAAAATAAATAACAGAAAGATAACCAAAAGAAAGAAAACTGTGTATGAAGACGTTTACTCTAGTGTTAATTACCTACAATAGTGAAAAATTAGAAGCACTAAAATATCCAATGATACGGGTATGGCTAAGTAAATTATGCTTCATCAACCCAATGGGCTATTATGTGGCCATAAAAATTATTTTTAAGTGGACTATGTTTAATGTACAACATTAAGTGAAAATTTTAAATCTACAGGGGTGGTATGATCTGGTTTCTCTTCAGATTATACAAATCTTTTGCCTTTTTGAATCTACAGGGGTGGGCAAAAGTAGGTTTACAGTTATAATACAAATAATACAATAATTAATAACAAATAATGCAACAGTAAACTGTTTCACATACAACTGTAAACCTACTTGAGCCACGCCTGTATGTTATTTATGATTACAACCATGTGAAAGCCTGTGTACATTTAGACAGATTAGATATAAACAAATGAAAACATCTGTTATATTATAGTGATGAGATAACGTGCAATTCTACTTTTAAAAGGATTTTCTATGATGCAGTTACATTGTTTAATGCGAATAAAAAGAATCAGTAGAAGATAATCTCTGGCAGTTAATGCTAATTATGTCTTAATATCCATTATCCTCTTCTTTTTTTCCCCAAAGATTTTATGTATTTATTTTTAGAAAGAGGGGAAGGGGAGAGGGAGAGAAACATCAGTGTGTTGTTATCTCTTGTGTGCCCCCTATTGGGGACCTGGTCTGCAACCCAGGCATGTGCCTTGACTGGGAATCGAATTGGTGACCCTTTGGTTCACAGGCTGGCACTCAATCCACTGAGCCCCACCAGCCAGGGCTATCCTATTCTTTTATAACAACAGAATTTTAGTTTGATACATAACTGCCCAAAATAAGAGTATATTTCCCGGCCTCCCCTGCAGCTGGGAGGAATGCAGCTGGCATTACGATGGGACAAAGGCATAGCTAATACAAGAAGTGGCTGCCCTTGAACAGACTCTTTAGTCTGTTTTTCCTGTGTCATTTTCCTTCATCTTGTTACCTTAAATCTCCCTTAGCTTTGTTATTGCACATACTATGGGTAGACTGGATCTGTTATGCATTTGATTGAAATAGGGACTGCTTCATAATTTAACAAATGAGAATATGTATGCCTCATGAGGTAAGTACGTGTTTTCTATTCAACCAGTGTCCAGAACAAGCTCTGAAAACAAGGGGATTATCTATCCCATGTTTGGAGATCAAATGAGGATATATTAATATTGAAGAGTACATGTTTATGTTGAATATGTTCTAGCGGGAATCGCACACATTTACTACAATATTCTTTATCATTTAAGAGAATGTTTTAGCAGAGAATGAGATCCATTTACAGGCTGCTTGCCTGAGTTAAATCAGCGATCAACCTCCACATTTTAAATGTTAAACAAAATGAAAAATTATATTTTTAAAGTTAAATAAATAATGCACCTTGTTTAACTATGACAGTCTCTGGTAAGGTTTGATATAATTCAATAGCCTAAATCACAAAAATATCAATCCTTTGTACTCTATCAGGAATGAGAACTTATCAATTCAGAAGGAAATTGATAAATATTATTCAAAACAGTCTTCATACTTGAAAAATATCCAAAGTACAACATTAAAGCAGATGCAACACTCTGTCCCAAGTGCTTACAATGCTCAGTAATGGTTAGGTATGCCATATATCATGCTGGCTGTAGCAACAAATTCATTATTAATTTTATTATAATTGAGAATAGGTCAATCACAAGCTGTTCTGTAAAAACAACGTGCTACTAAAAAAAAAAAAAGACACTGGAGGCTGACTCTGCAGAAGCCTTTTATTCTGAGAGCTCTAATATTTATGCTAAACATGGCCTGGTTAGATATTTGTTAACAATGAAAGAAAATTAAAAATTGAGAAATGTTCCAGGGATTAATTTACTCATCATTTCTCAAGCAAAACTGTATCTAGCTAGTCGGAGGGCATCTAGTTGAAATAATTTATTCAGATTAAAATTCTGTCAGTAAAAAATATTTGTATCCATGGTAATACAAAAAGGCTTAAAAAATCTGTCACGCGTTTGGTTAAGAAAGCATACCGAGGCCTTGTTTATAGTCTGTTTTCCTTTAGGACTCATATTTAAATCACTTATAGACAGATAAGCAAATCATGAAATAACTTGGTTTTCTGTTAATGAGCTGTGCACTGACGTGGTGGAAAATGATGAGCACGCATCTGTCCATGACAGGCACATGGTCCCCTTTTGTTTTTTCCCAATTTGTCATTCGATTTCAGTTCCTTAATGTCCAGTGCCCAAAGGTGAGGAGGACACAATCGTCTGTTGGTTCTTTTTGTCTCCCGTCTCTCATTGAGGTTCCTAGGTAGAATTATAAATAAAAGTGGAAAGTGTTTTATATTTGGTTTTTACTACTTTATGTTTTTATATTTGACTTTTTATACTTAGCCTCATCTCAAAAAATGTGTGGCGTATTTTTAACAGATTACAAAGTAATACATTAATATATATGTGTTCATTGTAAATATTCCTACAACACAGGAGTATACTGAAGCAGAATTTATGCAGTATGGATTTTAAGAAGTTCAGATAGAACTGACTTTCTCTTTGAGAAATGTACCATTAGAACTGTGCTGACTCATCAGTGTCAACATACAGAGGGTTGTTTTTTTTGTTTGTTTGTTTTTGCCAGCTCATGAGGTATTGATCAGGTTTAAGAATTTCAAAAATATGTGTTACCAAGAGAAATGTAGCTTTATACTATCATCCAAGGTAATAACAAAGGTTTTTCAGCCTTGAACTTGTAGATTAAAAAAATTCTACTTATGGATGTAGAATTATTTACAGTTTGCATATTGTCTAAACGATGAATTCAGTACAGGTTAAACTTACAGTCCCCACAGAAGTGTTTCTTTCTTTTGCCATTCCATAAGCTTTTTTCATTTTTTCAACTTTCATTTTAGCTTGCTTGGATCGGCAACCCAGATGTTTAATCTGACTTTGCTATTGGTAGGGCCGATGCAAAGTTTGGCTCCTTGACACATACGAACTGTACCTAGGAAATATCTGTATTGTAGACAGAAAAATTGCACAAAATAAAATTTAAATATATAGCAAGTTCCTAATTCTCTTAAAGCATCCTCTAGCAAATATATCATAGACCTCAGTACTTGCGGCAATACTGCATGTATATTTTTAAGCCAGAGTTATCATTTCTGTTTGAGTGACATAGCACAGTTCTTTACCTGCCATGATGACAGTGATGACGATAATGATGAAAATTATAAAACGTATCAATTTAAAATCAGTTTTCCTGGAAAATACCATGTAGTAGCCATTGGATTTTTTTTTTACTATATACTAACACAAAAATGTATTAAATTTCATAATGAATGAAAAAACAAACTTTTTCAAATCAGTGTCAGACTCAGACATAGTTGGTAGCATGCCCACAGACCGTCACCTTGGCCTTACCACTGCAGGGCACATAGGCCCGACTTCTACCTGCTAGCAGGGGCCTTACTCAGCCTGAGAGCTTTCTTGTGAAAACAGAAACCCATGTGCGGGGAAACTGCCCGAGAATTAATACTCTCTCTCCTAAGCAACCCTTAACCAATGACTAATGGGCATTGGTGTATAGCTGTCTCAACTCCTTTGCCCCTGTGGGATAACTGGAGTTGTGTGTTCTGTAGGGGTTCAGACATTCCCAGGAGAGATTATGCTCCAGTTACCCACAGCGGTAACTTGCTTGATGACACACCTAGTTTTGGCTGCCTGCCCTTTCGTTTCATTCCTCCACCCCATCTGGTCAGCGGTTCCCACGATCGCCTGTCAAACTACTCTGACTCAAATCCCAAAGTAAGGCTACATTCAAAGAATTCTTTAAAAAAATACTTTTTGCTCTTCAATTGATTTAGAATTTGACTACTTATTTGGCTCTTTAAAGCGACTTATTCTTGGATAATCAGTAGCATGCACCCAAACAGCAAGGAGTCTAGGGTTACATATGGTGGCAGAGAAAATCACACCATTTATTTGACCTTGGTGGTAATAGGGTTAAGTTCTATATTCAGTGCTTATATGGATGAGCTAGTGTAAATCTATTTCATGACAGACCGCCTACACCCTGTACCAGGCCATCCGTCTGGCAAATGTATGGTCTTGATCATAAAAATAAATGGACTAAATTACGTTATTGAGTCAGCACCACTCATCTCTTCTCCTGGAAAAACACACACACACACACACAAAAACCAAAAAAAACAACCAGTATGTTTGTGTGACAATGGGTCACCGGTGTCTTCTTCAGGTACTAAAAGAGTATTTTTCATTTAGAATATGACTGTGTGAAAATGGACTACCAATAGGTCCTTTTCTGCCTTATTATCTCTTTTTCTTAAGAAAGCAAGCTTAATCTGTAAACAAGATAGACTAGGTGAGACTTGGTAATGGAAAGAAAAAAGAAATATAATTGGAGCAGTCATATTCTGTTCATGTTGCTTCAGATCATAATACAGTCTATTTTGCTACAACATGCATTTCTATCATGTGAATTGGCTCACATGCTACTTGGTAAAGAAGGGAATAATGTCACTGTAATTTATATGCAATTTATCTTCAGCAAGGGGAGCCAGTATAGCAAGAGCAGAATTGTAACCTTCAGCAGAAAGGAAAACGTCCTTAGCTCTGTGCAGCAGAGGCAAAGGGAGCCCTTCTGGCTGTATTTTAAAAACAACAATTAGCATCTGCACCTAGGGCTTTCTCCCTGGAGAGGGGCCCCACTCCCACACTATCCACCTTTACAGTCTCCACCCTACACCCCACCTTGGGTGGCTCTTGGTTCATGGCAAGTCAAACTGCCTCTCATGTCCACTTAAAAGGCAGCCACACTGGACTGGGGCTCCACTTCCATCGGCACCAACTCAGTGCTTACAACTTGCTCTAATTCAAGAGTTGTGCCCTGGCTGGTGTGGCTTAGTGGATTGGGCGCCAGCCTGCAGACCAAAGGGTTGCTGGTTTGATTCCCAGTTAGGGCACATGCCTGGGTTGTGGGCTAGGTCACCAGTGAGGGGTACACAAGAGGAAACCACACATTGATGTTTCTCTTGGTTTCTTTCTCCCTCCCTTCCCCTCTGTCTAAAAATAAATAAAGGAAATATTTTAAAAAAAGAGTTGTTAGCATTCCTACCCTGTTGTACATGTTAAATATTTGCTGTGGGGGCCTCCAGCTATCCTGAACTGCCTGTCTGGTGATACGAGTTATCTCCCCATGTACCAGTTGTCCTTTTTGTTGGTGTTCTGTTTACAAAGTTGCACAAGTTTTGAGCAATCTGCCCCAACCCTATTTTTCCCATATGCCCAATTTTTTTCAGTCCTCACTTGAAGATATGTGCTTATTGATTTTAGAGAGGGGGGAAGGGAAGGAGAGAGGGAGAGAAACACTGATGCGATAGAGAAACACTGACAGGCTGCCTCTCGTAAGCACCCCCCGCCCCAAGGACTGAACCCACAACCCAGGTATGTGTCCTGAGCGGGAATCCAACCTGCTACCTTTCAGTTTGTGGGAGGATGCCCAACCAACTGAACCACACTGGCCGGGACCTTATACCTTTCATGAGCCATTTGGCAGAATGTGCCCATTTTCAGTAATGTCCCTGGGATTGTAACCCCAGTGAGGGATCACTTTTTTTTTTTTTAAGATTTTTATTTATTTATTTTTAGGGAGGGAAGGGAGTGGGGGGGGAGAGAGAGAGAGAGAGACATCAATGTGCGGTTGCTGGGGGTTATGGCCTGCAACCCAGTAATGTACCCTAGCTGGGAATCGAACCTGGGACACTTTGGTTCCCAGCCCACACTCAATCCACTGAGCTACGCCAGCCAGGGCTTGAGGGATCACTTTTACCTAACTTCAGAAACGACACATAGCTGGTCCTGGAGCATGTGTTCTGTTTGTGGTCTCTGTAACAGATACTTCATTTCTTTTCATAGACAGTTTGAGATTATTCCAAATTCTGCATACTTAACTATGTCCTACATCATCCTTGTCCTGGGAATGTCACTGAGGCGTACTCTTCTCCAACTGTTATTTCTTCCACCAGAAGATGCAGGGATCTTATCCAGTAGGCTACAGGGAGGGGCAAAGGTAGGTTTACAGTGTGAATATGCAAAACATAGTTTATTCTTATATTATTATTTACTAATTATTGTATTGTTTTCCATAAGAACAACTGTAAACCTACTTTTCCCCACCCTGTATATGGGGAAAACAATGAAAAAGGATTGGTTGTAGATGCTCTAGAACAGAGGTGTCAAACTCATTTTCACCAGGGGCCACATCAGCCTTGCAGTTGCCTTCAAAGGGCCGAATGTAACTTTAGGACTGTATACATGTAACCGCTCCCTAACAGTTAAGTGAGAGCTCAGCACTGCTGCTGGGTAGAAACAAGGTGCCAGGTCGGATAAAACAAGGTGGAGGGCCGGATTTAGCCCGTGGGCCTTGTGTTTGCCACCTGTGCTCTAGAATGTTTTTTAGACATATTTCCCAAGGTTCCACTCAAATGTCACCTCATTCAAAAAGCATTCCTTTGTCACATCTCTGAATTTTATTGGCATCTCTCTTCTATGACTCATTACTGATTACCTGATGCTTTAGCTGTATCATGCATGGAATACCACACTCACTAAATGTTTCTTTAATACATAAACATTTTAATGGCAAATGTAACTCAGATAAATTGAACTCAGGATGACCCTAAAAACTGATAATAGCTATGTGATCTTCATTCCTGGTAGTGCTCCTTCATGACATGCGTGGGTTGAGATGACATTTGCAGAAATCTTTTTAGAAATGAGTTCATCTCTGGTGCTAAGTGGCGAATTGCGTTATTATCATTTGAAACACTTATAGAAATCACACTTTTTAAGAATTTTAAAATGTAAAATTAGGAATTAAAAATGCAAAGGCAAACATATAATTAATTCAACCTCATAAATGCTCAATTAGCAGCTACGAGCAGGGAGGGAGGATCCATGATGCCAGGAAATGGAGTAACAGCTGGGCAGTTAGGGTATAAGGGCCCCCCCATACACACACTCTCTTCTCTGACACATGCGGGCAGTTTTCCCTTTGTATTATTTAGGCATGCATAAGTTTTAATTATCACCATTTAGTCAAATAAGCCCAGTCCTCCAACAACATGGTTCAAATTTCAGTTACCACAGTCTAATTGAGTAATTGCATCAAGTACAAACTCTGCTGCTACCTCTTCAGTCCACAGATCACTGCATAAATAACAGATGTGTTTGGTGATTAGTGACAAATCATGTCACTTCTCTCAAAGTGTGTCAATGATTGGTCACTGCGGATTTGTTATTTAGTTCACAAAAACAGCCAAGTATGTAGTTGTGTCGCCTCTTTGTCTCCCAGTGATGAAAAAAAAAATCAAAAGAGGTAACAGCCAAAAAAGAAACAAAAAGTGGTAATGCTGGAAGTAATATCCAAATAGAATGTAAATGGAATTTTAAAAGAAATAGGGGACCTGGGGTGGAGACACTGTCATCACGGAAGAGACTGTAAGAGGCAGCTGGAGGAAGTTGGTGAAGGTGAAGTTATCAACACAAATGAGGAAAGTGGCTGTAACAAAAAGGATTAAGCAGTTGCAGAGGAAGTGACGCTAGCAAAAAAAGACACTTCACAGTACAGGAACTGAGATATATCACAACGTTTAAAGGCCAGAGGATAGAATGTTGGTGGGTGATCCACACTCAGAAAGAAGTATGACAATTTGCCAAGGCACAGAGAAGATGTTCACTGTGTATTGTAAGTAGTATAAGAACAAGAAGGCAAGCACTGTTTAAACTACTCTAGATAAACTGTTTTTTAATAGTTTTGTTGAGGTTCATGTCCCATACAATTCACCCATTTAAAGTGTATAATTCAATGGTTTTTAGTATGCTCACAGCTGATAAATTTAAGTTTTTTACAAAGAAATCAAACTTTACTTCTCAATATTTTATAGTATATTAAATAAATCTTTCTCTTTTTTTAATTTTCCTATATAACAGACAGTAAGAGTGTTTTTAATGTTTTGACGAGGTTTCTTAAAGGCAGGGGACAATCACAATTTTTCCCATTGATTATACAGTTTGCTTCGCATCGTTTCAGTTTGCATGGTCCTTTCCATGGCCCTGCACTACTGTGTAAAGTGAGGACTGCCTGTATATTTTATTTCCTGAGAGTGGAGTAGTAAACTGGGGAGACATCTCAGAACAGTCAATGATCTGCTCTGCACTTATTAGCTATGTGACCTTGGGCAAGTTTTAAAAAATCTCATTAAACTCAGTTTTTCTCATCTGTTAAAGGGTCCCCTAACTTATAAACTTGAAGATTAAAGGAGATTATACTATATGTATAAAGAGCTGAAAACTATGCTGTGTCGATAAAGGGCTCAATACATATCAGCAATCATCATATCTCCTCCCTCTACCAATATATCCACCTGGAGACTTTTTCTATGAACCAATCCTTGGCACAGTCACAGCCTGCAAGTATGAGCACCATGTACTTAGCAAAGACAGTTGGCACACCCAAGCTCTACTTATTTCCTGGGCCAATGCCCTAATCTTCTAGGTTAAGGCTTTGAGGGAAAGCAAACAGAACTGGGGGTCCCTACAGCACTGTACTAATTTCATGTTTCACATTGAAGCAACTGAGTGAACAGTTAAGGCCATACATTATTATTATGAGCTAGAATTTTGGGATCCCTTGTTCCTTACAATGTGTAAAATAGGGTAATAATAGTACCTACGTCTTAGGGTTGTTATGAGACTAAAAGGTGCTGGTATTACAGCTATGTGCCACATAATGATGTTTAGGTCAACAGACTACCTATATGATGGTTGTCCCAAAATATTACAGTGGAGCTGAAACATTCCTGTCACCGAGTGATATCGTAGCCATTATAAAACCATAGCACAATGCGTTACTCACACATTTGTGGTGATGCTGTGAACAAACCTATTACACTGCCAGTTGTATAAAAGTGTAGCACATACAATTATAGTAGCAAGCTATACCATGTAGATTTATGTTAAGGAGCCATGTTGGACACCTTCCTTTAGTTTACTGTCCTGTCACCAAGGCCCATTCCCTTAAAAAAATTTTTTTTATTGATTTTTTAGAGAGAGAAGGGGGGGAGAGAGAGAAAGATTGATTGATTGATTTGTCCAGTTATTTATGCATTCATTGATTGATTCTTATATGCGCCCTGACTGGGGATTGAACCTGCAACTTTGGTGTATCGGGACAACGCTCTTACCAACTCAGTTACCCAGCCAGGGCCAAGACAGACTGCTTTTATTCTCTAACTATCTTTTGCATCTCCAGTCTCACAGCCCTAAACCAAGATACCACCATCTCTCCAAAAATACTGCAGTAACCTCCAAACTAGGAGAAGGCTGTCGCTGTCCTCTTAATCCACACTCTGCATTGCTGCCACACGGATGTCCTCACTCATTAGATTCGATCACCTCATTACACTGTGCTAGCTTCTAGTTGCGCACAGAATCAAAAATAAATAAATAAATACCTCACTATGGTTGAAAGCCCTGCTTGGTGATCTCTTCCCAGCCCTCTGGCCTGACTACATGCCACACTCTCTGTGCTCTCTCTCCTCCAGTCCATGGGCCTACTCTCAGGCTCTGCATTTCCTCTTGCCACAGTGCCTTTGCCTTGGGTATGCCATCTCCTTAGCCCCAGACTGAGGTTGTGACCCGTTGTTGACCTCCTACCCATCAACTATTTCTCACTTCTCCCTTTCTCCTGGAGCCCTGACTTTTTTTTTCTAGGTACAGAACAGCAATATGCTCCGGGAAGGAGGGCCCCAGCATATGAACCATGACCCAGTTCTGACCAGTAGGGCCTGAGGGGAGGTCTGTTGGCGTCTTCTGGGAGAGAGTTTTCTTAAGATAAAAAGACTCAAGGAGTCGCCTTCCTGCCTTTGAGGGTAGTTGAGAATGTGATAGTCATCTTGTTACCATGTGAAGGAAGCCAAGAGAAGTACAGAGAAGTTGACCCAGAACCCTGATGTCCACGAGCTGCTTGCTACATTAGCTAGTCCAGGACCCTCCTATCTGGGGACTTGATTGATACATGGGACAATAAATATCCTTTATTGTTTAAGCCTCTTGTGGCTGGAAATATTCCATTACTTATAGCAGAAGGCACCCAAACAATAACAGGATCTTCATTTTTAGGTCAAATCCCCGTGCAGTCTCTTAGCACCATGTATTTATTTTTGATTTTTTATTGAGATAAAATTTAGATAATATAAAATTCACCCACTTAAGCATTTTGAAGTGTGCAATTCAGTGGTTTTTAGTTCACATTGTAAGTCACCACTGTCTAATTCCAAAACACTTCCATCACACAGAAAAGTAACCCCACATTCCTTAGCTATCACTCCCCAGACACAAAAAGCCACAGATTGCATGATTCCATTAGTACAAAATCTCCAGAATGGGCAAATTCTGAGACAGAAAGTGGATTAGTGGTTGATAAGGGCTGCAGTGATGGAAGAACAAGGAGTGACTGCTTAATGGATGTGAGGTTTCCCTTTGGGGATGACAAAAAGGTTCTGAAACTCGATGGTGGTAATGTGTGCACAACACTGTGGATGCACTTAACGCCACTGAATTTCACTTTAAAATGGCACGTTTTAGCCCTGGCTGGGTGGCTTAGTGGGTTGGAGCATTGTCCCGATATGCCAAGGTTGTGGATTTGATCCCCAGTCAGGGCACATACAAGAATCAACCAATGAATAAATAAGTGGAACAACAAATCAATGTTTCTCTCGCTCTCAAAAAACAACCACAAATAAAAAATTAAAATTAAAAAATAAAACAGTACATTTTATATTTTGTATATTTTGCCACAGTAAAAAATGTATGATTCTTGAAGGATAAGGTCAGAAGGCTTTTTGTTGTTGTTTGTACGTTTTCAATATCCAAACCTAAATTCCTTACTTTCATGCGACCTTACAAGGTGACGATGTCTGTTTCATCAGTTATTTTGAATTCCTGGGGAAAGACATTCATCTTCCATAAGTTGTTCATGAAACTTCTTCTTCCCCATTACTTTGCAAGCATCAGTGGATGCCTATAAATAGAATAGAAAATAGATTCTTAAAATAGTAGTATAACAGTAATAATTATTATCGCGCACTTCACATATTTTTCTGACAAGTACGTCAAATATTGTTCCTTTCTTCTAGCAGCTTGCTATTTAACAAATGGATTATGTTTACAAGAATATTATACAGGGATTTAAGAAACCACTTAAAATTTGTCCCCATAACCACATCTACAGTTTGAAGAAGTAGCTAGAGGAGTAGCTGAGTCTACAATCTTTGAAGGATCAGTTTTTAGAAGATGACTTTTACCCCTTAAAAACAAAACAAAACAAATCTGTGATGCCATTTGTGGTGTCCATGCAGAGAACACTTATCTGGTTATTAAATAGGCTAGCCTAGGTACTGCAATGAAAGGTGTTATTGGGCCAACTCTCTCTCTTTTTTTTTTAGATTTTATTTATTTATTTATTTATTTTTAGAGAGGGAAGGGAGGGAGAGGGAGAGAGAGAGAGAAACATCAATGTGCGGTTGCTGGGGGTCATGGCCTGCAACCCAGGCATGTACCCTGACTGGGAAATCGAACCTGCGACACTTTGGTTCGCAGCCCGAGCTCAATCCAACTCTCTTTTATGTGTTACTTCATATATGGCCTTGGAATGGAACCATGTATGTTTCAGATTGCTCAGACCTCCCTCTCCTTCAGACTTCATTCTCAGGAGCCAAAGACTGGCAAACAAAGGGTGTTGTTGTTGTTGTTTTTTCGTTTGTTTGGTTTTTACATTTGGTACTCAAAGAAAGCGCCAGAAAGGGCAAAGGTAGAAAAACCAAAGAAAATACTGAGGCTCAAATCCCATCTGGCTCTATCTGTACTAAACTCTTCCACGCATATCAATCCTTGCGCTAAGAGCTATACACAGACTGTGAGTAGAGCTTTAAGTACTCCCCACCCTCCTTCCCACTGCCCATAAGTATGTGCTGTCTCTTCCAACCCATATTTGTATTACATATCTGTGTTTCTGGCCACAAAGGGTATGCTTATGTGAAGGGAGACTGGTGTACATGAAAATTCAAATATCTTTGGATTCCAAATCAGTCTCTCTTTCCCTTTGTATCTCTAAGTATGGGAACTCTGTGCTATATAATGCTGATATAAGACCACAGAGGAATGATTGAGATAGGATTGAAGTTCAGAATCTGTTCTTTTTACTTAACACACAATACAACAGCAAACCTGTTGTATTTTCTATCCCAATTCTCACTTTTATCTACAATAGTCCTTTTTTTTTTATTCTAAAGCTTAGAACACAGACATACATGAAAAATGAAAGAAAATACATGGTGGGGCAAAAGTAGGTTTACAGTTGTGAGTATGCAAAACACAGATTCTGTTCTTATACAATTATTTATTATTGCATTATTTTTCTTTTTTAAAAAGATTTTATTTCTTTTTAGACAGAGGGAAAGGGAGAGAGAGAAAGAAAGGGAGAGAAACATCAATGTGTGCTTGCGTCTTGCATGCTTCCTACCGGGGACCTGGCCTGCAACCCAGGCATGTGCCCCAACCAGGAATCAAACCAGCCGCCCCTTGGTTTGCAGGCCGGTGCTCAATCCAGTGAGCCACACCTGCCAGGGCTACCGCATTATTTTTCCATGCAAATGACTGTAAACCTACTTTTGCCCCACTCTGTATTCAAATGGTTGTGTGTAGTTTTATTCCTAATGTAATATAGTAAAAGGACAGAAATAGTTTACTAAAAATGTGATGAAACCTTCCTTTAGGCAGATTGTTTTCATTTTTCATTTCATTAGTTTCTTTATACACTATGGATCTAAACAAAAGGCAGTATTGGCACATATCTCCATTATGCTTTCCTGTAATTAATTTTCTGTGGGTTCTAATTAGCCATTCCCACAGGGACACTAGAGGTAAAAACAAATAGTTACACACTAAAGAGGTCTGAAAAATCATTTAATTCCTGTTTTGAGCATTTCTTTGGATATTATTATATTTTACTTTAGATCAAGTTATTTGAAAACGTATTTCTTGTTAGTTCCTCCAAACTCTACTTCACTCAGCCAATCCCCAGCAATCTCCCCACGCCCCAGATTCTTTATTTGTACAGGGCCTCACAGAGGCCCATCCTAGTCTCCGAGGCAGAGAACCTTCTGTCTGGCAGCACAGGGTAGTTTTGCTGCCCTCTTGTGACAGAGGTTTGAAAAAAGTTTGCCCTCCAATAGCCAAGAGGTTCTTTCCCATATATCTGCCCTGTATGGCCAAAATCAGGAAAGTCCTTCTGGATAGGAAGCGGGGAGGTGGGTGGGGGTGGGGAGGAGAGAACTCAGTCCCCCCAAAAAAGGGAAAGGTGAAAAGTAGGCAAGGATTCCAGGATAGCAGCTAATCACACTAGGATTCAAGAGGCAGGTTCCTTTCTTAGTGGGGGACTGAAAGGGTCAGAGGGGGGTATCTATAAATTTGACACCTCCCCTGATACCTGGCATCAATGTGGCCCAGAAGCCCCCGCAGCCCTGTGCCTACTTGCTGGCCTAGATCCACACTTGGGCTTATCAAGTTACTCTAATATCGCAAGTCTCATTCCCTGCCCAGCCGGACATTCTCACTCACCGAGGAAGTAATGAGTGGCATCTCTGCACAGGAACTGGTTATTGGTTTGAAACAGTTCAATTATATACAGGCTCAGAATTAATCAAACCACCATAACTGTATCAGAATGTGTACAATACATGGAGAAGGATTCAAGTCTCAGTCCTGTGCCTGACAAGCCTCCCCGAGTTTCGCCTTCTTCATAGGAAAATGGGAATCCCATGTTTACCAGGAGGCCATATGAGAGAACGTATTTAGTGGGGTTCCTGACTTGGAAGTGGTGAAGAGCCTGAGCTCTGGAGTCAGGCTCACTGAGTTTTGATGTCATTTCCTTCACTTTCTAGTTATGAGACCTTAGGCAAGTTACTTCGTCTCTTTCAAATGAAGATAATAGCAGAATCTACAGTCTAGAGTTTAGGAGAATTAAATGATGATGCACATAAAATGTTTAACATAATACTTGATAATACTCAACAAGGGCAGCTATTATGAATACTAATGTTTTTCCTTTTCACATAAATGCACAATCCTCAAGAAGAATGGGATCTTCAATTTAAAATAACAGCTATTGAATGTGAATGTTTACGAACTGTCAGTTACCCAGAGGTGTTCCAGGCCATGGTGGGGGCACCTTCAGAACAGTGCTCATCCAACTATATTGCGCCTAGGACCACCTGGGCATCTAGCTAAATGGCAGATGCTGATTTGGTGGGTCTGGGGTGGGGCCCAAGAGTCTTCATTTTTAAGAAGTTCCAGGGGATGCCAGTGTTGTGGGTCTGCAGACCACACGTTGAGTAGCAAGGCTTTAGAATATTCTAAATATAGTTGGTGGACTAACTACAGTGACAACCCTCTGTAAATAAGCATTACTTTGAAAATAGATTATTGAAGTAGATAACTGAGACAAGATCTCTTTTTTGTACACATGGCTATCCAATTGTTCTAGCACCATTTGAAATGCCTTGGCACTTTTGGTGAAAATTTATTTGGCCCTGGCTGGTGTGGCACAGTGGATTGAATGCCGGCCTGGTCCCCGGTTGGGGGTATGCAAGAGGCAACTGATCGATGTATCTCTCGCATATCGATGCTTTCCCTTTCTTTCTCCCTCCTTTCCCCTCTCTCTAAAACTAAATAAAATCTTTAAAAAATCAATTGATCATCTTTGTATAGGTCTATTTCTGAGTTCTCTATTCTATCTCATTGATCTCCATGTCTATCTTTACATTGTCACTATACTGTTGGGATTACTGTGGCTTTTTACATCTTGAAATCAGTAGTGTAAATTTTCTAACTTTGCTCTTCTTCTCCAAAATTTCTTAGACTGGCTATTCTACGTTTTTTCACTTGTTTTTTCTTGTGTGTGTGTGTGTGTGTGTGTGTGTGTGTGTGTGTGTGAATACATGAAAGATGCTATTGGAAAATAATAAGGAAATGAAACTAGAAGTGGCAATAGAAACAAGAGAAAAGCTGGAATGACAACAATAATCTGTGAAACACCCCTCCTTCGTAAGTGAACTTAGATTAAACATCTGAAGGGACTAAAATGGACTTATGTCTTTCATATTAAGAAATAAGTAAACTTAGGAAAGTAGGATCAGTTTGCTAAAGACACAATTTCTACATTCAAAGAGCAAAGGAGTTGAGTAAACTTATAGTGAGAAACATTCCACTTCTATCAACCATTAATCCAAGGGTTACCAGAGTTTGTTTTGGAAGTAAACTAATGGGAAAAAGGAACCCTAAATTGTTCTCACCAAATTGGGTAGTCCTAATCATTTAAAACCCTTATAATGTTTAGTGAAAAACTCAAGCTGAATGGTATGATTGCATTTTTATAATAAAAAAATTTAAAAATATATTTGTGTATGTTTTCATGAGGAAAAAATAAAGGATATTTAGCACACTATTAACAGTAATCACCCCAGGCGAGTGAAAATTGCAGCACAGTAAAGAAAGGCAAATTTTCCTTTTAAAAAAATCTCCGTGCTATTTTCTCTTTTAAACAGCTACTTTGTAATCTAAATAAAAAATATAAGTTATGATACAGCATTTTTATGAGTTTTAATACACACACAGAGCTTTCCAGTCACGGCGTCCAAGCTTCTCATTTGCTCCAGCCTGGGGACAGCAGGGGCCTCCAGGAGCTGACCCAGGAGATTTTCAGTTCCTGGAAAGGCCCCATTATATAACCTCAGAAAAGCAGCAATTGATGATATTTTACAGGGCCAACTCTGAGCTTATTCTGTAGATAAATGTGGCATGAACATAAAATAAACATTTACTTCGCATTTGAAGTCATCCTATATAAATGAACATATATTAATGTTTCTGAAACACTACATTGCACATGAAAACACATAATCCATTTACTACATTTCTGAAACTGAACTAAATTTTCTCCGACATCGCCTGAGAGCAGAAAAAAAAAAAAGCAGTCTCTTTTCCTTTTCTAATATTCTTCAGAGAATAAAGGCTATACATGCTGGATCCGATCAGACACTGCCAGGCTGTGTGGTCTTCTATCCATAATTCATGCCAGTGCTGATTATTTGAGATGGGCCATACTTTTCATGTAAAATATTTCCAAAGGCTACAGGAAAATAACCTTTGATTTATGGCTTATAAAACGCTAAATATAAAAATGCACACTTTTTTTTTACTCAATTACAGTCGCATATAAGGGTCAAAGGAGTACACCCTGTGTTGTAGATCCTTGCTATTACAAATGTGGCCTGTGGACTAGGAGCAGTGGCCATACCTGGGAGCTGGTTAGGCTCAGTCCATCCCAGATCCACTGAATCCGCAACTGCATTTTAAACAAGATCCTCAGGTGATTCCTCTGCTGTAGACACAATTTTGCTGAATATTTGTGAAACTTAAAAGTATAAGAACTCACATAAAAAAGGATAAATATTTTAAAAGCTCATTTCCAACAGTTCAGCGTGGCTTTTCTAAATATGCTACCAGGGCTGAAGAAACAATGATACAGTGTCATTAGACAAAATTGCACCAAATGTTCTGCATAATTTTTAAAGGATTTTATTTATTTATTTTTAGAGAGGGGAAAGGAGGTAGAAAGAGACTGAGAGTAGTATCAATGTGTGGTTGCCTCTTACATGTCCAGCCCCGGGGACCTGGCCCCCAACCCAGGCATGTGTCCTAGACTAGGAATAGAACTGGCGACCCTTTGGTTCTCAGGCTGGCATTCAATCCACTGAGCCACACTAGCCAGGGCTGTATAATTAAAAAAAAAAAAGATTTTATTTATTTATTTTTAGAGAGAGGGGAAGGGAAGGAGAAAGAGAGGGAAACATCAATGCGTGGCTGCCTCTCGCGCTCCCCCTACTGGGGGCCTGGGCTGCAATCCAGGCATGTGCTCTGACTAGAAATCAAACTGTTCACAGGTCAGCACTCAATCCCCTGAGCCACACCAACCAGGGCTGTTCTGCATAATTTTAAAGCTGTGACTAATAGACCACATTAGTCTGTTAAAGGGGTGGACAAAAGTGTGTTTACAGTTGTGAGTATGTGAAACACAGAGTATTCTTGTATTATTATTTATTAATTATTGTATTACTTAATATTATTAACTTATTTTTGTATTATTATGTACTTACTCTTAACTTATTCTATAACTTATTATGTATTATGTACTTATTCTTGTATTATTATTTATTAATTATTGTATTACTTAATATTATTAACTTATTTTTGCCCACCCCTGTATTAACAAACCAAAATTGTAATACAAAGAATATTGGTGGATATTTTCTAAGGCCTTATATAAGTAATTACTTCATATATTTTTTAGCTAATAAACAGAGACACTTGGAAACATGCTTAAAAAGTACTAACTGCTTGCTGGGATGTTTAATGGTGAAATAATTTAGTCTGTATACTTAAATGCAATTCAGATACTACATATCTGCATTATGATATTAAGAATTATAAGAAGCTAAATTAACATAAAATGTACATTGTGAAACATCACCTTGCTTGACTAGTTGAATATATTTTTTCCTACTGAAATACTTGTAACCCTGGCCTCCAGTGGGAATGAAAATTTTAAACACAATAACAAGTGGCAATTTTCACCAATCTGAAAGAACAAAAACTTGTCATTTGGCATCAGGTTTGGGACTTCTCCCCCTTGTACTTAAAATATTTCACACAGTTTCTTGCATGCAGGGTAAAGGCTATGCCACAGCACAGAAAAAAAACTGGTAATGAAGTGGATTACAGAAGATGAAAGAGCCACACTTACATGTGTGTGTGTCAGACTGGACATGTCACAGGAGATGAGAGCCACTCTCAAGGCAACTTTTGGCCCAAGAGTCATGCCTCAGTTTCTTCCCATAATAAATATAAGTAAGAACACATTTACTTTGTAATTATATACTGAGAAGTGAGGATGACTTAAGAAAATAAACTTCTAAGATATCTTCACATTAACTAAGTACTTTTTGAAATAAAGCAGCATAGAAACATTACCTGAATCTAATTTTACACTCCACGCTAGGATCTTTAACAAGCTCGGCCTCTACGGGGCTCACATTCTTTAGTATTTCATGTGCCACACGATATCCCTGAAATAGATGATGGTGCTATAAATGGAAGGTGGTACCCTGACCAGATGCAATTTATTCAAAATAACAGAGGTGGCATGATAAAGTGAACAGTACATCAGACTTGAAGTTCTGAAGACTTGGGTTCTAGTCTTGGCTTCTCCACTTATCGTCCGTGTTGCCTTGAGTCAGTTACTTCATCCTTCTGGCTTCCAAGTTTGGGTACGTGTTCCTCCTCGAGATCCCAGGCACTGTTCTTTCCCTATGACACTTCTCGCAATGTATTGTAATAGACTATAAACTCCTTTGTGTCTCCTACTAGACTTCAAGCTTAACGAAGTCAGGAGCAGTGTTCCTTTTTTACCACTGTGTTCCCAGCATCTAGTACACTGCCTGGAACACAGCAGGTACTTAGCCAGTATTTAATATTGAATGAATCACTATAAAATGAGGGTGATAATAGTTCTGTTACTAGCTTTTAAGCACATTTTACATACCACATACTATGTTAGGTGCCTTATTCACATAACCTTATGTAATCCTGATGATTCAGCAATATTATTTGAATATTATCATTCCCATTTTACAGGTGAGCAGACTGAGGCTCTGGGAGTCTCTGTAACTTGTCCAAAGGCATATGGGTGGTAAGTGGGGAAGCCAGGATTCAAACCTTAATCTGTTTGACTTTAAAGCCCCCGCTTTTGCCTCCATGTGACCCTGCATTTATGCCTGTGACAATCACATAAAAATGTACACCAAAGGGCTCTTAAAATGGCAAAGCATTATCAATGTAAGCTAATAACTTGAAGCATTAGGATAACAGATGAAAAAAGAATTAATTTCTTTCTTTCTGTTACTAAATGAAAATGATAACAAAACCAGTGCCATGATACTTAAATACAAGTTCTGTAAGTGAAGACAATGGGTGATGGACCTGCAATGTCGCCAGTTTACCTGGGTGGGTTTTCTCTGCAGGATTCTGCTTTCACTGACATCAGAAATGGGTCTGTGGGTCAGATGGTGAAGAAGTGCATACATTGCTCAGACCTGATAATTTTTTCAGAGGGGCTAAAATTCCCTCAATGTGACTACTGCTAATTATAGACTACTGTAATCACGGGTGATTTTATTAGGACACCATTTGGTACTATATGAGGGAAGTCTTAATATCCTTCCAGGGTTGCCAGAGTTATTTTTGTGGGGGCAGGGAGCAGTGGAGGGTATGCATTTTTTTTACTCAGATAGGACCATATTACTCATACAGTTCTGCACTTGCCTTTTTCACTAACACAGTATCTTGGCTATCTTTCTACTGCAGATTCACATGCAAGGCTTCAATGCTTAACACTATGAAAGCACCAACACTTATTTAACCAGCATCATATTGATGAACATCATACGGTTTACTTTCTTCACTGTTACAAACAATACTGCCATGAAATTAAATCTGTCAGACAAAATAAAAAGCAAAATACATACCGCTGCAAAAACTGTGTGCTTTAGGAGATAAAATATTCTTTTGTCCATATGAGATAGCCAAGCTCTTTGTATCGTTAGAGCTGCACTATCTTTCTGGCTTCTGAGAGAGAGAGAGAAAAAAGAGGTTAAGATCTGTGAAGTCGTTTTCATTTTCCTAAAATCTTAGGGAACTCTGAATTTACGCTTCCTCCTCCTGCACCTCCCCCTCCCCCACCGCGAGACTGACCTAATGAGGAACATTTGGATGTGGCAATTGGAACTGGCCATTTGCAAAATCCAGTTAGAATGAGGATATGAAATACTTGAGAATATTTCCCTTAAGATTAAAAAACCACCCTGGCTGAAACTTTATCATCAAAAGGAATGTGTGTGTGTGTGTGTGTGTGTGTGTGTTTAAAATATTGTAAGTAATATGTGAGGGGACAAACTTGTTTTCTAAAACCACCCATGACCTAAAATGATTCCACTGTAGTTAGTTCTTAAAAACACTGTCCATCTAGTTCAAATACTAAGAAAAGAGAATGTGGACTCATCCAAGTTTACGGTAGGCTGAATTCTCTTGAAGGAGCAGATGCCCACGCCCTAGGAAAGAAACTCCTTTCTGATATATGCTTGAACCAGGTTCAGCCCAGACAGGTCAGAGAATTATTTTGTGAACTAGCAGGTCCCAGGGATCTCCCTCTCCCCAACCCCCTTGTAGTCATCACTCCTCACAGGACTACATGCAAGGAGAGAGATTTTTGTATAACGTCACCATCACTGTTGGCTGGCAAAATGCAGGCTACAATGTGTAGAGTAGAAAAAGCCTGGAGTATGGGAAAAATCCTTTGACTCTGAGCCTATGCCATTTATTTAGCTGTCTAACCTTCTACAAACCACTTACCTTCTCCCAGTTGCTGCTTCCTCACGTATAAAATGTAGTGAGACTGCTTCACAGAGTTGTGTCAGGATCAAAGAGATGTGCGTTAACATGCTTTGTAAACTATGAAATACTATAATTATAATAATTATTCAATTCAAAAGTAATTTTAAAACACACACAAACTCTATAATTTACAAAACAAGAAGTGTTTGATGTTACCTGGGTAAATACCGTATGAAACTGTTCAGTTGTGGAAAATGATACAAGGTGAATGATGGCTACTTACAGTGGTGCTTCCTTTTTCTTTTCAATACTTGGCAAAATTACTCTGTGGCCTTTTACCCAGCTTGGATGAACTGATTTTCGAGCACCAGTAATTGCTGCCTTTGAGAAACGATTCATCTTTCTTCTAACAAAGTACTCTGAAAGTATACAAATTAAGCATTTGAGGTCATAATCTGTATTATCACACTGGATGAGACTCAAGTATCATCTGCTCATTGCACTAATTCCAGAGCCCCTTAAAAAGGAAAGCTGAGTGTATCTCTTAATATTGCTTACAGTTTACAGTCTTTGCGTACTAAAAATATTATGAGGGATATGGGAAAGATAAGGGGATCTTTCCAATCACCTTCTCACTGGTCTCCCTGTCTCCAGGCTCTGTGTCCTCCTATTCTTTCTCCACACTGCAGCTGGAGTTAACTTTTTTGATCAATAATCCCACCTTATCACTCCCCAACTTACCATCTTTCAGGGACACCTCATTTCCTCCTGGCTGAAGTCTAGAGTCTTCGGAGTGCCGTTCAAGCCTTTTCACAATCTAGCTCCATTCTCTCTTTCAAATCTCAAAATACCAACTTTCATTAGCATTCCTCTCTATACTCTGTGAGAACAAGAACTTCTTGCCAAAATCAGTGAATGTTTTACAATTCTGGGCTGTTAATCATGCCACATCCTCTACCTGGAACGACTTCCCTGCCACCAGCAAACATCAATTCCTTCTTGAAGACCCCTTGAGCTAACTGATGCTAATTGATGCCTCTTTTCTTAAGTTTTCCACTTTTTTACAGAACTGCACACTCCTGTCTCCAAGGTCCCATAATACTGTATATGTTTTCCTTATACGTTACTTCTCATATTGCATCATAATTTGTTTTCTTGGCTGTCACCAAACCAATCTCATTGAGGTGAGGAGGCACCTTGCTAACTATGGAATCCTCAATGCTTAGTGGAGTAGAGGATTTTTACCTGCTTGTCTAAAAAATTTCCTCCCCAATTTTGTCATGATATAGTTATGAAACTTTGGTCAAGTCCCCTAACCTCTCAGTAGCACAGTTCCCACCTTGGTAAAGTATGAGGGTGTGTACTAAATCGTCTGGTTCCATCTCTGATTTTCTGTCCTTTGATGCATTACTCTAATTTGGATGCAGTTCCCAAATTCTTAGTTACTGCTTAGTCTCTTTTACTAAACCAGGGGCTCTTTATCTCTTCTTTTGGTGTTGTGGACCTCTATGGGTACACTCCTTTGAAGAACTGTTTTTAAAAATGCATAGCCCTGGCCAGTGTGGCTCAGTTGGCTGCAGTGCCATCCTGTAAACCAAAGGTCGCAGGTTAGATTCCTGGTCACGACACATGCCTGGGTTGCTGGTTCCCTCCCCAGTTGGGATGCATAAGTTTCTCTCTCACATCCATGTTTCTCTCCCTCCCTTCCCCTCTAAAATCAATAAGCATGTTCTTGGGTGAGGATAAAAAAAGTAAAAATGCATAACATAAAATGTACAGGATTACAAAAAACTTCAATTATATTAAAATCATTGTTGCAATATTTTCAGAAAACAAAATTATAGAAACATGTGCTTTCTTTATGCATTAAATGAGAGCTCTAATCACTACTGTACTTGCGAGGTGGTAATGAGTAGAAATGATATCTAAAGAAGTCTTCCATGACTATAACATGATATGAAGATATCGGTGCTTTCCTTTAAAAATTTTATTTTATTTATTTTTAGACAGAGGGGAAGCGAGGGAAAAAGAGAAGGAGAGAAGCATCAATGTGTGGTTGCCTCTCACACAGCCACGACTGGGGACCTGGCCTGCAACCAGGCATGTGCTCTGACTAGGAATTGAATTTGCGGGAACCTGGCCTGCGACCCAAGCATGTGCCCTGACTGAGAATCAAATTGGTGACCCTTTGGTTCGCAGGCTGGTGCTCAAGCCACTGAACCACACCAGCCAGGGCTCTGTACTTTCTATTGATGGCAAAGTCACAGGTACTGCTCTAGTACTGTGGTTTGTTGCCTCCACTGTAAGTGAAAGAAATGCTAAAGTTCAGTTAGAAGTTAGTAAAAATAAAGTTGTAGTTTTTCCCTATCTGACTTCACATACCCCCCTGAATTAAGAACTTCTGCCATAATTTACCACTATACTTCACATTTTCATATACATATGACATTCCATTCCTAATGCAGAGCCTTCAGAGTCTTCTCAATATTTCTCCTTAGGAATGTGGTTGGGGGTGGCTTGGAATATACAATTCACTTGAGAAGGAGAAAAGCAGCCCTGAACATCTGGGAGCTGGCCGGACACTCACAGCTGGGCTTTGGTATTAGGTGGCTTCCTAACAACACCTAATTCAGAGCAAAGCCCTGCTTCCTTGAACTTGCCCCCACATCACCCAACCAAGCCCAAATCCTATAATAAATCCTCCTAACACCCTCTTACGGTGATGCCCCACTGTTTCCCAAAGTGTGTGTTTTCCTCTCAGCAATGAGAAAAGAAACAAACCCAACTTGTTCAACTACAGAGGTGTTCCAAGTGGTCTTTGGCTGGTGAACACCACCGCACAAACCTCCCAAATCATCTAGTTGCCCGTCTGGATGGGTTTATACGTTCTACAGCATTAGAGCATGAAATACAAAATGAAATATCAAACACACCTCCATTATGATACACTATAACAATTATTTAGGTGAGATCACACTCTTTAAACGCAGACGACCTAGGTTTGGATCCTGGCTTCCCACCCTTCTGCGTGGCTTTGTACAAATTACTTCTCCATGCCTCAGTTTCCTCAGATTGGAAATAATGTCCACCGATTTCGGTTGTTGAAAAGATTAGATGAATATGTGTAAGGAGTTAGGACTGAGCTGGGCACATAGTAAACGCCATGGTAGAACTTACTGTTCTTGTCAGTAAGGTAATTGTCATTATTACTTATTTCTACTAGTATTAAGGGACAAACATTTGATTCCTAGTTAGGTGCATACACTTAAGTATATCGATGAGAAAACAAAAGGTCAGGGCCTTTGCAGACTAAAGGACGTAGCAAATTAGTTTAAACTTCAGACCTAAGAAACTTCAGCACACGGTTAAAAAAAAAAATAGTCAAAACCTTTTGGGAGGTAAATCCAGGTTCCAAACTCGGCGGTTTCCGGCTCTGAGGCTTTCCACGCCGCCCGTGGTCCACTGAGCGCCCCCGCGCGGTGGCCTAGAGCACAAATTCTCAGCTTACGTCACTGGGCGCCCAATCCGGGCGGGGAAAGATAGTGGCGCTAGTCTTCCCGCGCCTCCCTCCTCCCACCGCTCGTGCGGCCCTCTAGGAGCTGGCGGTTTCTGGCCGCCTAGCAACCGCCGGCGCAGGGGCGGAGCCTCCGGAAGGCGGGGCTTGAGTTTGCTGGCCGCGCGAAGCTCGACGTGCCGTAGCTTAGCGCCACGCGCCGCAGGTTAGCGCCACGCGCCGTATCACCACGCACCGCAGCTTAGCGCGACGCGCCGCAGCTTCGCGACCTCGCTTCTAGCCCAGGCTTCCGAACTAAGCTTTCGCGAGATCAACTTGGCTGTACCGCCTTCGCCCGCAACGCGGCCCACCTGCGGTCGGAAGAATCAGGGCTGTATCCGGCCGCCGTAGCTGCCTCTCTGTAGTGGGCGGGGTCTAGGCCGGGGTGACCCCGCCGGAGCCGCCGCTGCCAGCGACATGTTCAAGGTGAGAGCGTGGAGCCGGGTCACAGTTGTCACCGCTCCCTCCCGGCCTCCCGGAGCCCTTCCCGCGCTCTCATGGGCTTTTCTGGGGACCAAGCCCTGCTCACCGCGAGGCTTTTCTCGCTTCCGGCCGGCTCCGTGTCGGTCCGGGAGTTCATTCACTTGTCCGCCTTGAGCCGGCGGTTGCCAGGTGGAGGCGTGAGACTCCGGGGTGGGTGGGTGGGGCCATTTGGGTCGTACTCTCGTGAATAAAACATTCTAAAAAATTCAAGTAACCCCCAAAGTATCCACCCTCTTCCCCCGGTTCCCTCTTGGGTTTGTGGGTAGGGTGAGGCCATCTCCAGGCACTGCGGGGTTCGGCTTCGGTTGCTCGGTAGGGTCAGGTTTCAGAACCTAGTGTGTGAATGGGGGAGGGCAACCCACTTGAGAAGCAGTTGCAGGATGCGGGGGTTGCTGGCACTGGAGTGGCTGGGTTGAGGGAGTGAGAAGCTGGAGCTTGCTCCTCTCCTTAGTGAACGTCATCTCGTATGAACAACTTGACCTCTTTACATTTTATGAATTCGTGTCCTTTGAAAGAAATGGACTTGTACAGTGAAGACTGTTCGAAAATCTTCATTTTAACGTGAAGTTATCTTTCTACTACTTAAAGTAAATAATAGTTTCTATTATGAAAAAGGAGCTATCAGAAATGAGTCTGCAAGAAGCGTAACACCGATAAAATAATGCTAATGAAATTTCAAGAATACTACTCAAAAAGTTTTGTCGAGCCCCTGCAGTGTACTTTGGGCGCATTAGTACAGGCTATAAAAATCAACATAGATTTCACCTTCCAATCCTGACATTGCCACTTTCTAGCTGTGTGACCTTGAGCAAGTCACTTAACTGCTTTGTACCTGTTTTCCTATTGGTGAAATTGGGGAAATAGCACATACTTCATAGGGGTGTTATAAAGAATAAATAAGTATGTGTAAAGCACTTGGAAGGGGCTCTGGCACATAGAAATACCATCTGGGCATTTGCTTTTATTTTGTCTTCAGGCAGCTCCCAGTTTAGTCAGGATGACAGATCCCATAAGCAGCTTGCATTCACTTGATTAATTTGTGTTGAACACCCATGTGTGCTAGAAGCTCAGCTCAGTTTTAGGGTTGCAACGACAAGGGACATACTGCGATCAGTTTATGTGGGTATCAACAACGTACTGTGGTAGTAAAAAAGGGGAGCAGTATCTTCTCTGCCTAACCAGCGGTTCTTATCCTGAGGACCACAGCCCCTCAAAAGTATCTGGAGAGAATCCTGGGAGACCCTGATTTCTGATGGAAAAGAATTTTTATTTTCACCAGTCTCCAACTGAAATTTAGCAATTTCTTCAGTTATAAATGTAGGCAACTGTCTCGTTTATCTACTGCTGGAGAATAAACCACTGTAAGCTAGTGCCTTAAAACAATGATTTGTTCTTGCCATCTGTAGGCTGGCTGAGCAGTTCTGCTGGCATTCCCCCAGCAGCTGAATTCAGCAGGTGGCTACACTACAGGGAGGTCTTACTCGCGTGTCTGGGGGCTTGATACCTCCCAGTGTGCCTAAGTTGGGCTTCCTCACATGGTTACTGGGTTCCAAGAGAGCAAGTCCCAATGTGCAAACTTACCTGCTTGCTTCACATTTGCTGATGTCAAGACAAGTCACCTGGCCAACTCCAGAGTCAGTATGGTTGGGGAATACATGAATATGAGGAGGGGTCGTGTGGTTCACTAGGACCCATTAATTAATTAATTCTTAAAATATATAATCTTTATTATATTTCTTTCCATTATCATTCTGTCCCCTTGTACCCCCTCCCCCAGCAATCACTATACTGTTGTCCATCTCCCTGAGTCCTTTTTCCTTTTTGCTCAATCCATCCACCCCCTAACCTCCCCACCACTAACTGTCATCTGTTGGAACCCATTAAATAATAAGCTACCACAGCAACAAATTAGTTGTATTAGCAGTACCTGTCACCAGTAGAAGTGCAAGACCTGTGCAAGTCACAGACATTTTCACGTCATATTACGGTTGTTGCAGATGTCATTTATGCTCATCGCTACTTCAAAATTACAGTAGTTACAGGACTCACTGTTAGATCTTTTTCTTCAATGAGCTAACAAACATATTACTCTATCAGATTTTGGGTTTTAAAATATTTTTATAATTATTACAATATAATTGGTATTTTAGACAATTAGAAGCATTACTTTGAGAAGGGGTCCATAGGGCTCACCAGACTGCTAAAGAAGTCCATGGCACAAAAAGGCAAGGAACCCTTGGAGACTTCAGGAGAGGCTTCACAATGGAGACATTGAAATTTATTTTTGAAAGGCAAATAGGAGTCCCTGAGGTGGATGGGCTGGGGAACAGCACTGGTACTCTACTGGCAGAAGTGCCATGAACTCAGTTCTGTGACCAAGGAAAGATAGAGTGAGCTGAAATGATTGAAACATGTAGTTGGAGTAGAAAAGATACAAGAAACCTTGGAGAACACCAAAATACAAGGAGTAGGCAGAGGGAGAGGCGTGGTCAGAGATTTTTGAGAAGTAGAGGAACAAGAAGAGTGATGTTTTGAAAACTGAGGGAGGAAAGTTTCAAGAATGATAGGCTATATTAGGTTGCTTTCAGTTGGGAAAACCCAGTTGCTTAAATAGTAAGGGAAATTATGTCATAAAGTCCAGAGGAAGGGTGGACTTCTGTGGGTCAATCGTGTCATCAGAGGCCCTGTCTCTTGGCTTTCAACATTAAGATTGGTTCCCCTATGGTTGCAAGGTGACTGCCTATAACACACGCATTCCCATTCACTAGAGCAGGGGTGTCAAACTCATTTTCACCGGGAGGGGGCACATCAGCCTCGAGGTTGCCTTCAAAGTACCAAAATAATTTTAGGACTGTATAAAGGTACCTACTCCTTAACTGTTAAGGAGTTCAAATTACATTCAGCCCTTTGAAAGCAACTACAAGGCTGATGTGGCCCCTGATGAAAATGAGTTTGACACCCCTGCACTAGCGCCAGAGAGAGGACAGGATTCCCATGCTTGGATTATGCTCTTCCTTCAGTCTGATCTAACCAACTTAGGTCAAGTGTCTGCCCCTGACCCTTTAGGAGTCTTGACCCTTTAGTGGCTGGGGAAATGCCATGCTGTGATTGGCTTAGACACAGGATCATATCCAGATAGGGTCACTTCACCTTAATCACATGGGAGGGAAATGAATTCATGAACACGGTGGGAATGGAGACTTGATGCACAACCAACAATGTCCATTACAGAAAGATGAGTTCAGTGGGTTTGGGGAAGTATTTATTGATTTGGGCAATTTGGAAAGCTTTCGTGATACATGTAGGTTTACCAATGGAAGTGAAAGCTGGATTAACATGGTTGGTGATAAAGAGAGGTATAAATGTGCACAGTGATTGATAAACTTGACAGCCAAGGGAAGGAGAGAGAATATGCTGCCAGAGGGACATGTTGGGTCAAGATTCTAGAGTTGCTTTCCAGTTGTTGGAGTATTCAAGATGTGGCAGTGTTTATTGCCTAGGGAGGAGTGTGGGGAGGGAGCTTTCACAAGAGAGAGTTCCTCAGCTATCAAAGGAGGAGAGATACTCCCTCCCTCCTGTGAGGTAGGAGAGGGATGGGAGTGATTGTGGACATCGGTTCCCATCTGGATGGTACCACCCCTTCTGAGTACTTGAGTTGTTCTTCACATCTTTAATTTAGTTCTGTTGAGCATTTATATACTGAAATATAATTCTTACAAATCTTTCCTTTTTGTTCTCCATTATGTTGCCATGAAATCAGTCTGCTGGTCTCTTTTATTGGACTTATGCATGTAACTAGGTGATGAATTTTATTCAAGCATAGCAAAAGAGTTACTTTAAAAATAATTTGTCATGAAATGGTGGTGTTAGGTCTGGTTGTTGAGAACCAGTGCTTCTCGAGCTGTAATGTGCATGCGACTCTTCCTAAAATGCAGCTTCAGACCTAAAATGCAGATTGTCCATTTTTAACATGTTCCTGGGAGATACAGGTGCTGCTGCTCCCCCATCATACTTTTAATAGCAAGAACTGAGGCAAATTGATAGATGAATGGTTTCTTGTGTTTTCATGTGAGTAGTTTTATGAGTGTGGTGGAATTTGGAAGAGGCACTGAGCAAGGAACAAAAAAGATAAGTGAGAGGCTTTGAGGGCTCTGCTGAGTGCTGCTAGGGCAGGTCTGTCATGAGTGCACCTCGGGAGTGGGGACAGAGCAAATAGTAGGATCAGTCTGGGTTTGTGAGTTATCAGCTTGGATCAGCTAGGACTGGAGGGCACAGGAGTTGATAGTATAGGTGTTGGCAGAAAAAGTAGTGTGTGTGACTAGTTACGTGCATACACCATTAAAATATTTGAACTGTTTTGATTTAGCTATTCATCTTCATGTCAATAGAGGGCACTAGAGGATTAAAAATGACATTTGAAAGGCTGGCCAGTATTTGAATTACTTTGCAGGAAGCAGCTTTTTAGGCTGATGTTTTAGGAAGC